AAAAGGAAAAGACTTAAGAATAAGTTCAGAGAAGTTCAAACCTAAGAGCGAAGTACTCGAAGGATTCCGGAGCCAGGGTTTGGATTTAAGGTATCCCCCGGAACGTTTTTCCTAAGCCGTTACTCGTCTTCTTCTGACGGATATGTACTCGGGCTAAGTCCGTATTTGTTTGTTCTCTAGTGGTCGTTGATGAATGTTCTTCTTTCTCTCGAACTGAAACAAATGCGTTGATCAGTGGAAGTAATTCGTCTTCATTTCAGGACGTTTTTACTGTTGGTTGTTGCAATATGAATGACCTCTGTTTTCACTTTTCTCCGTTTTATCTGTTTTGGAATCTTGGAACAGTAAGTGCACTATTACGAGAGAGTAACTGCTAAAAAAAGAATCGATTCAGATTGCACTGTATCGTTCTAAACATAAGATTTCTTTGAAGAAATCTCAACAAGGAAAAGGAACCTCCACAGTGTTACGTCCCCAACAGCACAACTGTCGAACACCAAACATTTCTCCCACCATGTGAAGAATTGATGTTTTTGGATCCCATTGTGAATGCGGCTGGTAATTACAGTGAGTTCGGCCGCTTGGCGAAGTACTTGTGAGCCGGTAGCGGCGCTCAGGACAGGCAATAACAAGCAGAAAAGGGTTTTGGGCTGATAGCTTTTCGAGAATAGTTTAAAGAATAAAAAATCGTGTGAACAGAGCCGGTGAGGCCTTGACGGGTGCGGTGGCCTTTTACTGCATTTACGAAATTATTGATGCATAAATGAAAAGGATTCACCGTTGTTGATCATCCCTTGTTGGAATGCTACACGCATTCTACTTCCATTCAGAATCGCAGTGGCTTATTGATGCGATGTGGCCTATACAATGACTTGCGGGGGCCAGCCGATGTACAAGTCAGTGTCCTTTATCCTCCAGTACGAATCTGATACCAGTTTACCGTCCCCGGGATGGTTTGGTTGGCCTGGGCGGCAGCCGATTCGGGATTTCGCCCCCGGACCGTGCGCGTAATAAGCTGCCACTTGCCACTACATCACCTCCGCCTAATGCAAAAGTATGTTAAGGGATACCCTCACCTTCAAGCACTTGTGGAAGCACAGCGATCCCGTCACTCACCACTCTTATCCCAACTCCTTGCCCTTTCTGAATGCCACTTCTCCCGGTCCCAGCTGAATCATCAATTGCAGGGAACAGAGTTCAGATATGACGGTCTCAGAATGATAGCCTTGTCTTCCAGTTGTGACCTTCCGACTTCTGGGCAAAAGAGAAAGGCTCTCCCACAAGACAGCGGAGTATAACTCATACTTTTTAGTTCTGATGAAAATGCTAATCTATAATCTGAGAAACTTCTTTTTGTGGAAAGACACTTTTGCCAGCCCAAGACATTTGATACAATTGAGATTGCATTCTGACGAGCTCAACCCAAATCACATAGGTCCAGCAGATCGCACATGGTGCACTTCTAATCCCTGAGACGGAGTAGGCGTGGCCTTCCCCATGGCAAAGGCATAGGATGGATTACTCGTGGTATATTTCGTTTTCGGACAACTGTCATCATTTTCAATGTTGGACAGAACAAGGAAACAAGGACACAATTGTCCCGAAATGAAAACATTCCACCGAAAGCACAACCATCGCGCATTCACTTGAAGTGCGGGAATTTCAAATGCAGTTGAGCGTAATATTTGGGATTCATGTATTCTGAAAAGCTTAATCCAATTCACCTAGATTCAACAGATGGTTCAGAAGTGATTCAACAGATTCAAATTGGGCCAAATAATGGGTTGACAAAAGCAACACATCGATAATAGGTCATCCTACTCGCTGAAATAGGTCACCTTCTCGCTACAGAAGGCTACATGCCACGAAAACCCAGGAACAGAGAAATTGAAAGGTGAGGTCAGCAATTTTGTCTTTTCCAGCGTAGCTGCCGGAGATCGGGTCAAACTTTCCCTCCACTTATTTCGATCGATACATCATTTATTGAAGGAGAAACGACCTGGAAACTTAAAACAGGCCAAACTTTGGTTGGGTGACCTCGGTGACGAACAGTTCCTCAAATTCTTCTGGAAGAGCGTTCTTTCCCTGCGTAAAGATGGTGAAGTATGATTCAGCAGCACAGGAACATCTGTTGGACTGATCTGCTGAATTGTTGTTGAGGAACTTTTTTTATTTCAAGCAACAAGGAGAACTTTACCGTAGAACTTCACACTGTAAAAGCTTACAGTTGAAACTTCAACAAAGACAGCAGTACTTACTCTAGTGCAGTACAGAATCCCTCTTCTGGTTAGGTTAACCGAAAAGAGCCGATTTCCTTTCGTCTCTTCCCTTCCTTTCTCATTTGAGTAGAGCAAAGCATGTTCTGAACGTATGTACAGAGTATTGAAAGACGGCAGAAATGACCAGTCAACCAATTTGTTCAGCGAAAAAGAAAAGAAACTCGAAAGTGAAACTGAACTCAAGCAGGCATACAAAATTGCTTCGTCAAGTGCGATGCTAGTGCCTACTTCAGGATGGCTAAAATAACTAGTGCACCAACATTTTCAATGAAATTTCAGAATCACCCATTCTAGTTATGAATAGTGATTGCAAGGTTGACAATCGAAAAATATCACCAGTTTTGAAAACGACCGCGACTAGCACTTACATACATAAGTCGTCAGAAATTCAGAAAACGCTCCTGCACTTCCACACTGAAAATGAATTTCATCACAGAACTTCAAAAGCGCTATTTAGCTCAGATTCGAGTGTATCCAAGACGACCAATGCAGTAAATCCATTGAGCAAATACCAGTCCAAAGATTAAGAAATTCATTCGAAGTGTCTTAATGGAATCAGTGAAGTGTCGGCTCGCTAATCCTGTATCCTCTTGCTTCATTTCCTGTAGCAGAATTTCGCTGAAATCATTTGACGCTTCTAAAGTACGTGTGTCCGTGAACATTTTCCAGACTATTTATTTTTACTTATGCGCCGATTTTAACGCTGGTTCTATAGGAGCAATTGTAGTTGTTCCATTGAGTTCACTACCTAACACCTTTTCAACTTGGTGGCGTTTGATTGTTCTCTGCAGCTCCACTTTTCAGGTACCCGCAACGGCTGTCTCACCGATCATATGGAGAATTCAGGTTTTCGATGTGAAAATCTTCTCATAATTGATAACTGCGTCTCAATCGCGTGCCGCAAATGGAGCATTAGTCAAGCGGCCCAAGAACTGTATGAAAACCAAGAGCGATCGGTTGAAAACTTCTGATACCCTTTGAATTGTTGTTTCTAGGATAAATAATACTCATAGTTAGAATCCGCTTTTGGAAAATGATTTCGAAGAGCCGATGCTTAACTAAGCTCTTATTCGTGACCCCTCACTTCCGTGTGATCTGCATCTTTTTTTTGGTTACATCAGAACCTAGAAGCACTGGAAATCTGCCGAATGACACAGGAGGAGCATATTCTCCAGCTTTCTCTTGCTGTAACCTCGGCATAGTTGTTCATTTCGCTAGTATTATTATGCCTCTCGAGGTTTTTAGGTGGTAGCGGCCTAACGTTTCAGCAGGGTCTTCTTCAGAAGCCAGAATCCACTGTAAATCCGCCGTCACATGCGGATGGTAGTCAGTAGCAAAATTTCGTTTCTTTGTTACTCAGTAGTTCTGCTACTGACTAACATCCGGATGTGACGGCGGTTAACGGTGGGTACTGACCTCTGAAGAAGACCCTGTCGAAATGTTAGGCCGTTGAATAAAGATTCCACCTAAAAACCTCGAGAGGCATAATAATACTAAGGAACTGAACAAGAGGAGCATGTTTTCTAAGAGTGTGGAGTGAGCAGAACACCTTGCAATTTGAGCGGAGTGCTTTCTATTGACAATCGTTTCAGCTGCTGGGGCGTAATATGACGATTGCGGTTTGGCACTGCGCCAATCCGTTTTCAACCAATTGTTGCCTCTTGCCTGCTTCAGTCAGTGGTGGGAAACGGGCTGACGCAGCGTCAAACCCTGACAACTGTCAAAAACGACTGCATTCGTAGGGTATTTGTGTCAGGGATGACACTATTCGACAACGTGTTATTATGGCAATCAGTGAAAGTATGATTGCGGTAGTAACCCCTGATAAATCTTGCAGACCCATCACCTTCTTCTACAAGTGTCCCATTTACGTTTTGATCAAGGAGAAGCAGAAGATCAAGGAAACAACTTTCTACTCTCTCACTGACGTGCCACTTTGTGTATCAATACCTTTCAGATGGGATCCACGGCAATCACGACCCTTCTGTGGTAGCTCATGCTGCCTAGGAGCTCAGCTCTGCACGTCCAAAGAAGCATTGCAGAGGGATCGCCCTAATCCTTCATAAGGAAAGTACCCTTTTCTCATATGAAGTGGCACCGGTGGGCGGGGTTAAGACGAACGATTTTTTGTGCTAATCGGCCCTCTCGTAACGATAGTAAACAGAACGTGATGAATCGAACACAGACTGCCCTTGTGAATGACAGCTACCTCCTGTCTTTGTCTGCTTACGCAGGTTTTCATTGACGGCTTAATTTACACTATGGAAATTAACACTTCACCCTAATCGGAGAATTCAAGGGTTTGATTATTCAGAAAAAGGTGTGAAAGGGCTCTGTGGAATGCCTTGTGTCGCCAAATGGAGTACCATTTCGTTCGCAGTAGTCGCAATGGACTGTGCCTTGGAGAACTAGCATATTTGACGTGAAAAGGCACACACACCCCTTAACCAATTATTCAAGCGACCTCTTACGTGTTCACTGAGAGCGTTGTGGAGGTGGTTCCGCGCACTGAGGTGTGACCTGTTTAGGAAATCACCTCTCCACTTTTTCCCCCTTTGTAATTCAATTCCGAATTGCTGTGTTCAGGAGGCCGAAACATGTGTTTGTACAGTGAATCTAGATTCATTACCACGTAATATGAAGTTGCATCGTAACGACTTGTTATGTCGTGACTCTCTTTCAATTGAGCATTTAACGACGAGTTCCATCTTCGAAGAATACACCGCCATCGATTGAGCAGTATTTCGGGCAGACACCGCGCTCTCCTGGTGGTCCAGGTTGACCTGGTTGTCCGGGATGTCCGGCATTTCCTGGCGCTCCTGGTTGACCATCCTGTCCACGGGGACCTTTCTCTCCAGGAGTTCCTGCAACGATTTCGTCAGAAAAACGCATGCCACATAAACGCACCACGATCTTACGAAATCATACAGAACTATGACTGAAATTCGTAAGCGCTCTGAGATACTGAAACTAAAACAAACCTGGTGTGCCAGGATGTCCAGGTGCTCCATTCGGTCCGGGTGGTCCTTGTGGTCCAGTGGGTCCTGGAGGGCCAGGTGGTCCGGGAACAAGAGGCTCTGACTGGGCGTTTGCACCAGGTTGTCCTGCTCCACCAGGCGTTCCTGCTTTGCCAGGTGGTCCAGGAGGTCCCTTCGGTCCGGGTGGTCCTGGCTGTGCGTCGTTTCCTGGTGCCCCAGGGTTTCCGGGTGTTCCAGGCTCTCCTGGCGGTCCAACAGGCCCAGGTGGTCCTGGTCGTCCTTGTGGACACGGCTTGCATGGAGGAATTGGAATTGGGTCGCAAGGCTTGAACAGGTGGTCGTCCCGGATTACCGGGAATACCAGGTGCTCCAGGATTTCCTGGCCGTCCAGGATTCCCAGGCATTCCTGGTGGACCAGCTTGCCCACCAGTGCAGCACGCTTGACAACTGCCGGCCTGCCTTGCCGTCCTATTCGAGCGTTGTGAAATAGTTTTGAGTTGCCCAACTTCTGACCAGATATCCCGCGCTGAGTCCTGAACATAAACCGACTACTGAATGGTACTATTGAAAGAAAGGAAGTCGGAAGAATCAACGTACCTTACAGAAGTTGATTTCATTGTGCATGAGTCGCTTAACGTGATGCACATAGTTGTATACCATCGGCAATGTCGTGCATACTGAGATCACGGCCACTACCGAGAATGTGACGGCAGAATAAGTGACGAAACGATAGGCCTTGATGCGGTGTTCCAGATTCATGCCGACGCTGTGTGCCTGAGTGCGTTGGCGCGCTCTGCGAGATGCCATCTCCATTGCGGGCCTTTTATGTGACTCGCTGCCGCCGTTTTTTCCCAGTGTTCTCAGCGCCACCTCGCCCTGGTCTCGCCCACCGCTCGGCCAACCATCGCCGACGTTTTTATTGCATGGTAGTTCGACCGAATTATGGTCACACTATTCACGCTTACTGACGCAGGCATCAACTGTAAACTTTCGCTCATTTGTGAAGTAGAGTCACACCATAATCAAGGTTGCGGTTTTCTCGGACCTGCATAGCAAACGCTGGTTTTCATTTATTCGCTATGCGAGCAGCTCTGATTGAGAAAAATGATAGCAGTGAGAGAGAAGACATGAACCAGTGCTCTTTGAGATTATTGGTGTCAAACCTCTCTTTCCTCATCCATCGGAGGAATGCTAATCTCTCCAGCGTGGGATCAAACAGTGAGTTGCTTGCTTTTTTCATAGTTCATGACTGATCCGAAGAAGTTTTTGGAGTGCTCCCCAGTGAAGGCTAAAAGAAATTCTGCTATCAGGTCGTCTAATAATCTCAGCCTTGTCCCTTGTTGTAACCTCGGCATGATGTCGAATATTCAGTTGCTTCTGCCAAACGAGGTTGTTAGATGAAACCTTTTATTGGCCTAACGTTTCGACCTTCTCGTCTTCTTCAGAGGCCTGAAAATGGTTCGGGAAACAAGGTCGGAAGCGCCAGAGAGGAAGGGCTTTGATCGGGTAGGTAAAAAATAAAAAGCTTCGTACCGTTTTCAAGCTTCTGAAGAAGACAAGAAAGCGAAGAGTTAGGCCAATAAAAGGTTTGCTTGCAGAAGTAATTGAACATTCGACATCTGCTAGTAAGGGGAAGGGATTATGTGGACATTCCTTCTAGCACCGCATTGCCTTCATTGTATGCACTTGCTTTCCACTCTGAATGGTACTTTCCTTCTGAACAAGCATTAAGCTCATACAAGGGCTTGTTAGGAGCAGCCAATGTGCTGAAACTAGTAAGCCTCCAAATTGATTTAGATTGAAAAGGAAAGCAGAGCTTGGTTAGCCGGTGAGCTTTGACGTGCACTTCGGTCAGCTCCCCTTGAGCGTGGCAAAAGCCAAACTTGTTACTACTTCATCTTACTTCCTCGCTCTCCATAATATGTTCTGATAGCTTTCTTTTTATGGGTTTCAGGAGATTATCCTGAATTCCTTATCTACTGACAGCTCTTTTTTTTATTGTGGCGCCGTGAGAATCTCAAAAAGTCAGTCTGATGAAAAATTGCGTTCCGACAAAATCGGGAAGTGCCATCATCCATTTTGCTGTGCTTGGTTGTAAAGAAGACAGTCCTCTCATGGTTAAAATTATCAATTATTTTGAGGTGGAGGTGGTGTAGTAACAAGTGGCGTCCGCTATTCGTGGCAACTAAGCATTCTTGTTATGGGCGGGTCAGCCTGCAAGCCAGTCCAACAAGCGTCTGGCTTCCTCAGGACGGTACATTGGTACCAATCGTCTGGGAGGATAAGCCCACTGACTGGTACATCGGCTGGTCCCGGCAAATCATTGAATAGGCCACATCGCGTTCAGTAAACTTCTAGAAGTCACGATGAAAGTACAAGGTGTGCCGCATTCCAAAAAGGCAAAAGGTGATCAGCGGCAAAGGCTTATACGGCGCACTTTGTCGACGGAGAAGGGGGGGGGGGCATTCGGCTTTTCATAGATGTGGCGACCATCTAGGTAGCCTTTTCTCGAGTTGACACGTTTATGTGGCTAGACGATCTTACTCCAGCTTCACAGGCGTTCACAAGTTTTACCATGGTGAGATTCGTAAACCGGAACTAGGGAAGCAATGTTAGTACAAAATGCCCCCCCCCCGTCGCTAAACAGCGCGGGCTTATACTTGTTATTTTATCTGCTTTTCTGATAGAGGCTCAGGTGGGCATTTTCACCTTCAGGTTTTTGCCTTTGCAAACTTCACGCTTGGTTTCCTGGCGAATTAAGGCATCTTTTTGCGGAAACACGTAGCGTAGTGCGCAGGAGGGTATCAACTTCGCGACTTTCAACGTCGGAGTATTCCCTTAATGCTAACTGTCGGTGAGGGGAGGGGGATCGCAGAACCTGCAGTTTCCTGTGAACGTTTTGCAAGTGATTGTAAAGCACGTATAAGTTCATATGCGCCACCCTAAGCCGTTCTACTTCTTCGTCTTGTTCTTGATAGTCTCCTTTGGCGATTAATTGTTGGTATTTTTTATAGCAAACGATGATTGGTTTAGTTCCCTTTTCTGTCAATGTTTTTCAGCAGATTGAAGTGCTAAGCGTATCACGACCACTGAGATGATTATTTCATCTTATTGGCAAAAATTGAGGAAAACTGGTGCGTTACCTTACATTCCGATAATGGTTAGTGCGCTTTGATCTACCTCCCCCCCCAAATAAGTTTAGATTAGAAATGTTGGCGAGTGTTTGGTGACAAGTGAGGGGGGGGTTTCGTTGTTTCCTGCGGAAACTACGGAAAGAGGTATGGCTGGAAATTCTGCGAAGAGCTGCTTCAAAAAGTAGCCCGCTACATGTCGTAGCTTCAGAAGAAATGACAGTAGTTAATGGATGTCTCGAATGAACACGGTTTATAAAATGTTTTCAAATGCGCCGAAATGTTTTTTGAAATAACCGCATCGTTCGTGATTCACACCCTTTGTTCTAAAAGAATGAAACCTTCGGCGTTGATCGTTCCCTTTTGGGGAACTGCCGCGAATTCTGCTTCCATTCAAAATGGTAGCGGTACTTCCAGCGCTATTTGGCCTTGAAAACGATATGCTGCGCTCTCCAGATGTACAAGCCAGTGTTTTTATCATCTCAGACAGGATGAGGTTGGTTGGCCTATACAGAAATTATGCTGAGATTTGACCTTTGAAGCCTGCGTGCGCCACATTTATAAACTGTCTCCACCCAGCAAACAACTGTGTACATTTTTTATGAAAAATAGTATATATGTACTTATGTTATAGTTATATATGTACTTATGTTTGATGAATAAGAATTATACGAGCATAATTGTATGAGCTCTTGGTTGGAGAGAAAGAGCTCGGAGCAGGCACGAAGCAAGTGAGGAATCCTAATTCCCAGAGTTCGTGAAATTTTTCGCTCTCAAAAATGGATGAGCCAAAACATGGTTGAAGTTGGAAAAGAGTTTTGCCTATTTTTCCTAAGAATATTATGACAGGCCATTACCTTAAATTAAAGCTCTCTTCACGACAAATATTGCAGGAGACCCTCAACGTAGCTCGAGTAGCAAAGCAGAGACAGAGCAGGTAGATGGGTAGGAGAATACCTTGGTGACGGTAATTACAGAGATTGGTTATTGTCGAGAACATTATTTATCCTTCATTACTTCCACTGGCATACATTTATGTTCATATCGTCATTAATTCCCAAAGACAGTTCCGCGACTGGGATTTGCGGCTCAAATGCGAAGATGCTCGGGCGATGAGGTAGTTGGTGGGAGGGAGGACCACTCAGCCGTGCTTCTCTATCCCTTCTACCAATGAGGCTCACTCTTGGAGCGCGCACGACAGCAGTCGCCGAGGGTTGTGCGATTGGAGTGAAAGGGGGAGGCGTTGACGAATGGTTCCCCCTCCCCCTCGCAACCACGTTGGCGCGAGTGCTCATTGGCCTCACATCGAAGAAAAGAAAGAACAGAAGCGTAGAGGACACCCTGGATAAGACTTCATCATTGAACGAAACGAGAGAGACCAGATATGAACGATGAGAGAACAGGTACGTAGCTGGAGGACGAGCGTGAGCTTGCACAGAATGAACCGCGACTTGCCAGGGCTTTTAGATATGGAACTGCTGACATACCCAGTTCCGATAGGGTAGAGCACGTGCCATTGATGTTTCTTCCACTCACCAGAGACAAGATAAATTCAGAAGCCAGGGTGAATACAGTAAGTTCAAAACTTGTGCGTGAAGTTAAAAATGTCATACCTTTAACGCACGCAACCGGGCATACCGTAAGCCGGTTAAGTTACCCAGTTTGATGTTCTTTTATTAGCCTGTTACGTCTTTTGCACAATTCGGCCACTAGGAAGCGACCCGCCTGGTACCAATGGTGACCCTATCCGCAGCCCTGGATACCGTGTCCCACGTGCTTGACACAATTCCGCGGTTTTGCCCAAGGTACAACCCGCTGCGTGCGCTCGCACCTCGACACATTCAATCGCGCCCGCATTCGATGGGGGGGGGGAGGTCTGTATGCGCCCTGACTCCCTGAATCTATCATATCGACCCCAGCGCCCTCGTCATTAACAGTTGAGCTGCGGAAGTGAGACAACCTCTGATCTGCAGCCGGATCAATTATACCATAAAGGAATTTCACGAGTTAGGTGATCACAAAATGTGCCTTATCGTGTTGTGACGGAAACTTATTTGGGGTCTAAATGTTGTACAACATAAAAAGGAACCCATGAGTTCACTGAAAGACAGTTGAGAAAGGTCAAAAGGTGTAATTCGTTTTCAATAGACAATCATTTACACCGAAAGAGTTTTGAACATAAATACGTCACTTGAGCTTTTGTCCCCATGTAACCCTCCCTAACACTTTTTTTTCTGCATTGAAGACACTCATTAAGAGGGCACTGACAGTTTTCCGACAACGTTCTTAGTGGTAATTGTCTACGAGGTCGTTCATTTCATTCCCATTACTGGTGGTGGCCGTCGAATTACATTTGGCCGCGTTTTGAATTTACGATTGCTCCTCGACGAGTTGGTAACACATTCAAGTCATCGCTCTAATAAATGAGATGAGATGTAACGATAAAAGTGAAATTTCTCTGGGCTTTCACTAGAGGACATCATTTGCCCACAGTTTTCTGTGCCAAAGTGCATCAACTGAAGTGCACGTTCCTCTTGCAGAACTCGCGGATACTCCTCTAGGAATTAATCATCGAAGGACCGTGCTCGAAATGGTTCGTATTGATCAAATTCCGTTCCACTTCAGCCG